AACAGCAGACTCAAGCAAGAACACAGCAGACGACAGCAAAAAAACAGCAGACTACAGCAAAAACAGCAGACGACAGCAAAAAACAGCAGACTACAGCAAAAAAGCAGACTACAGCAAAAACAGCAGATTACAACAAAAACAGCAGACGACAGTAAAAACAGCAGACTACAACAAAAACAGGAGACTACAGCAAAAACAGCAGATTCCTGAAAAAACAGCAGACGACAGCAAAAACAGCAGACGACAGTAAAAACAGCAGACTACAACAAAAACAGGAGACTACAGCAAAAACAGCAGACTACAGCAAAAACAACATACCACAGCAGGAACACAGCAGATGGAAACAAAACAACTGGTTCAAAATAACACACGAACATTCATTAAGTTACACACATACTGTAATTGATGTCCACCTGGGATTAAGACACACACACCTGGGATTAAGACACACACACCTGGGATTAAGACACACACACCTGGGATTAAGACACACACACACCTGGGATTAAGACACACACACCTGGGATTAAGACACACACCTGGGATAAGACACACACACCTGGGATTAAGACACACACACCTGGAATTCAGACACACACACCTGGGATTAAGACACACACACCTGGGATTAAGACACACACACCAGGGATTAAGACACACACCTGGGATTAAGACACACACACCGGGTTGAGACACACACACCTGGAATTCAGACACACACACATGGGATTAAGACACACACACCTGGGATTGAGACACACACACCTGGGATTAGACACACACACCTGGGATAAGACACACACACATGGGATTAAGACACACACATGGGATTAAGACACACACCTGGGATTAAGACACACACACCTGGGATTAAGACACACACACCTGGGATTAAGACACACACACCGGATTGAACACACAGGATTAGACCACACATGGGATTAAGACACACACACATGGGATTAAGACACACACACATGGGATTAAGACACACACCCGGGATTAAGACACACACACCTGGGATTGAGACACACACACCTGGGATTAAGACACACACACCTGGGATTAAGACACACACACCTGGGATTAAGACACACACACCTGGGATTGAGACACACACCTGGTAACACACACACCTGGGATTGAGACACACACCTGGGATTGAGACACACACACCTGGGATTAAGACACACACCTGGGATTAAGACACACACACCTGGGATTGAGACACACACACACCTGGGATTAAGACACACACACCTGGGATTAAGACACACACACTGGGATTGAGACACACACACACCTGGAATTCAGACACACCTGGGATTGAGACACACACACCTGGGATTAGACACACACCTGGATTAAGACACACACACCTGGGATTAAGACACACACTGGGATTGAGACACACACACACCTGGGATTAAGACACACACACACCTGGGATTAAGACACACACACCTGGGATTGAGACACACACACTGATTAAACACACACAGATTAACACACACACCTGGATTGAGACACACACACCTGGAATTCAGACACACACTGGATTAAGACACACACACCTGGGATTAAGACACACACACACCTGGAATTCAGACACACACACACCTGGGATTAAGACACACACACACACACACACACAAAACTCTCCCACCGGCTTCTATACAAAACTGTTGTGTTTACGCCTACTGTTAATAATATATTTTATGTAACTGGAACAAGGCGCAATAAGGCATCAGGTGATATGAGTTACATTGGGTAAATATATCCTTGTTGTCATGCCCTCCTATACAATGCAGCCTCTTATCATGTTTTTATATCATGTATGTACAGCTTTTATCTTCTCTTATGCTATTACTAGTCTCTGTTCCTCCTAGTTCTACACACACACACACACCCTCAGCACTATATTAACGCCAAAAACACGTCATTAAGAAACTCATCTCTGCTGGGACGGTTTTTTGCTGCTAATAATTCTGGCCGACTGTAAGCCCCTGTTCCTGTGTTATAATATGTAGAGGTAGGGAGGATAATGTTCTCCCTTAGCTCCCTTTCCAGTCTTATAATCTCTCTCTCTCTCTCACCCCAACTACATAGTGAGGTGTAGTGGTACAGCTAGTGGACTGAGGGCATCTGGGTGAACCAATCACCTTTAGAGGTTAAGTTACTCTCCTGTATTCCCTCGTCTAATTCATTCCTATATCGTGTAATGCAATTCACTTTAGCAGATGAGGGGATAGAGAGAGGGAGAGGGCAGAGAGGGAGGGAGAGGTAGGAGGGAGGGAGGGAGGAAGGGGAGGGAGAGGGAGGGAGGGAGGGAGGGAGGAGAGAATCCTACACAGGTAAACTTCAATATTAATAAAAAAAAATCGTCTCCATGGCAACTTGATCGGTAATGGATACCTTAGTGTTACCTCAGCTTATTAATGGCGTGTTAAGCTTTGCCTCGGCTTAATGAAGGTATGTCAGCTTCACCTCAGCTTAATAGATTCCCCAGCGTCATCTCAGCTTAATAGATTCCCCAGCCTTACCTCAACCTAATCGATACGTCAGCGTCACCTCAGCTTAATGAAGGTATCCCAGCGTCACCTCAGCTTACTAAAGGTATCCCAGCGTCACCTCAGCTTAATAGATTCCCCAGCGTCACCTCAGCTTAATAGATTCCCCAGCCTCACCTCAACCTAATCGATACGTCAGCGTCACCTCAGCTTAATGAAGGTATCCCAGCGTCACCTCAGCTTAATAGATACGTCAGCGTCACCTCAGCTTAATGAAGGTACCACAGCGTCACCCACCTTAATAGATACCCCAGCGTCACCTCAGCTTAATAGATACCCCAGCGTCACCTCAGCTTAATAGATACCCCAGCGTCACCTCAGCTTAATAAAGGTATCCCAGCGTCACCTCAGCTTAATAGATACCACAGCGTCAACTCAGCTTAATAAAGGTACCCCAGTATCACCTCAGCTTACGTCTGTGTGTGACACTTAAACAGGCAAAAGGTGCTGTGTGTTTATTGACGTTGTATTGTATAAACACAAGACCTTAAAATACAATACAAGAATAAAATACAATATATATTACTAGGATAAAATACAATATCAATAAATACAGCACAATACGCAGAATACAATAAGAATTTATGACATTACTATATTAAAATCCAATAAAAAAATACAATATATGAACAATACAATACCCTGCAAAAAATACGATACATATAATAAAAAATAACAATACAGTACAATACAATAAAATACAAACCAGGATTGGGGTGTGCAGAACACCAGTACACGTAACAAGTGTGTGTGTGTGTGTGTGTGTGTTGAGTGTGTGTGTGTGTGTGTTGGTGTGTGTGTGTGTGTGTGTGTTGAGTGTGTGTGTGTGTGTGTGTGTGTGTTGAGTGTGTGTGTGTGTGTGTGTGTGTTTTGAGTGTGTGTGTGTGTGTGTGTGTGTTGAGTGTGTGTGTGTGTGTGTGTGTGTGTGTGTGTGTGTGTGTGTGTGTGTGTGTTTTGAGTGTGTGTGTGTGTGTGTGTGTGTTGGTGAGTGTGTGTGTTTTGAGGTGTGTGTGTGTGTGTGTGTGTGTGTGTGTGTGTGTGTGTGTGTGTGAGTGTGTGTGTGTGTGTGTGTGTGTGTGTTGAGTGTGTGTGTGTGTGTGTGTGTGTTGAGTGTGTGTGTGTGTGTGTGTGTGTGTGTGTGTTGAGTGTGTGTGTGTGTGTGTGTGTGTGTGTTGAGTGTGTGTGTGTGTGTGTGTGTGTGTTATTGGTGTGTGTGTGTGTGTGTTGAGTGTGTGTGTGTGTGTGTGTGTGTGTGTTGAGTGTGTGTGTGTGTGTGTGTGTGTGTTAGTGTGTGTGTGTGTGTTGAGTGTGTGTGTGTGTGTGTGTGGAGGAGGGATTGTCAAGGGGAATAGAAGAACGGAGGGAGGGAGGAGAACGAGATGGAGGGATGGAACGGAGAGGAGGGATGGAACGAAGAGGGGCGAGGGAGGAAGGAGGGAGAGGGGGAACGATGAGGAGCGAGGAGGAGGGAGGGATGGAGGGAGGGAAGGATGGATGGAGGGGAGGAGGGAGGGAGGAAAGGAGGGAGGAAAGAGGAGGGAGGAGGGAGAGGGAGGGAGGGAGAGGAAGGAAGGAGGAGCGTGAACATGGTGGTGCAGGCTGAAAGCAGTCAGTAGCCAGTCTGGTGTGTGGCCACGAGGAGGTGTGTTGCGCGCTTCTAGTACGGTCCTCACTGATTCTCTCACCTGCCTCCTGGACCCCAACCCACACCCTACCTCCTCGACCCTCAACCCACACCCCTGCCTCCTGGACCTCCAACCCACACCCTGCCTCCTCGACCCCAACCCACACCCTGCCTCCTGGACCCCAACCCCACCCTGCCTCCTGGACCTCACAACCCACACCCTGCCTCCTCGACCTCAACCCACACCCTACCTCCTCAACCCACACCCTGCCTCCTGGACCCTCAACCCACACCCTGCCTCCTAGACCCTCAACCCACACCCTACCTCCTCAACCCACACCCTGCCTCCTGGACCCCCAACCCACACCCTACCTCCTCAACCCACACCCTGCCTCCTGGATTCCCCTACCTGACCTAGATATCCCCCGTCCTGTCACCTTGCATCTCACCTGTTCATTCAACATTTACCTGGAGCGTTAATATGTCACCTGGATTCGCCATTTGACCAGTCACCTGAGACTCTCACCTGCCCACTTGACAGTCTCCTCGAACGTGTACCAGCTCGTCTACCTGTCCCGACGTTCAATTGAATACTCACCAGGAACGTTTAACCCCACACCTTCAGCGGGTCACTCACACCGCTCTGGACACCTAACCGCTTGTGGTCCGATATTGGCTTTGACTTAAATACGTGTACTGTCGCCGCTTCATAAACTTAACGATTGCAGTTGCGAATTGTCCATCACTTGTTTCACTTTATATATGTATTGTTACAGCGTTTTTATTTCATTACAGTCAAGCTTAAGATGAAGCGTAATCAGGATATCGTTCGCTTTAGTGTAAGTTCGAGATATATAATTTAGAACAGTTAGACAGAATACAACAACTAATAATGTGTTTTTGTACAGAGAGACTACGGGTAACATGCCTCCACTAACAGTCATCTTCCACTATCTCAACCTGGATAAACAAACTCCCGCAAGGTGCAGCAGATACCTTAGAATAAACTCCGGTAGTGACGCGCGCCTTGGACGATAGTGAAGCCGTCTCCCAGGTGTGTCAGGTGGAGGTACAACAGTCGACGAATTCCTCTTCCTGGTCGTCACTGAGGACACAAGTGGCCATGGCTGGTCGGTCTGCCTCTCCTTACAGTCGCCTGAGTTACTAAGATGATGATCTTTATCGTGCTGGTGCTTCCCTCATCCGGTCTCCCCTCATCTTCGATTCTCTCATACGTGTTCCTCTCCTGCGTGCTTCTCCTGCCGGGGATCTTGGGCGCTGGTCACCCTATTGATTCCTCGAGATTCATGATTCCCCCCAGCAGAAGGTCACATGGGTTCCCTTACAAGTCCGTGGGTGATTCTGACGTCCGCCAGGGGGCCACCTACAACTATATGTTCGCCAGAAAGCCACCACAACACCCACTCTCTCTGACGCCCACAACATACTCTCCCGACGCGCCCAAACCTAAGGCTCCCACGCCCACGACGCTGACGAGTCCCTACAAGCGTCTCCGCCACACCAACAGCAGCTTAAGAACAGCGGGTGAGGTCAGAATTATACGTCAAGAACGTCACCGAAAATCAAGAGTCCGCGGCGAGTTGTTTCTCCCTGAAGCTTCACTGAATCTCTCCAGGTACTCGAGATTTGCTGTTTATTCGGAATATTCAGAAGTTCCCGCTGTTCTGGATTCCTCGAGTGTCAGGTCCCACTCGCTGAAGTCTGTGAGCGGTCCTGATAAGCCGTCCGTCACCAGTATAAGAGATGCCTCTGAATCACCTCTCTGGGGGGACAGATCAGCCGACAGCAATAGTAGACTCGGTAAAGTTGTGACGACGGAGAGGACGGGCAGTGACCTCGCCTCGCCTGAAGAACACCCGACAAAGAGCAGAGGCAGCGAAGTACAGCTCAACAAAGAGAATTCTGAAAAATACCTCTCAGAACCGAACAGAAATATACGGGGCTTGGACAGCGATGGCAGAGAGCACTTAACACCCCAACTAAGGAGCGGTGAAGAGGTGAATTTTGATTTACTTAACCAAAAGAATTTACATGACAGTGAAATAACGGTAGCGATTAGACACGGCATTGTGAATTCCCTAAAACGTAATAATGTTAGGGTAGCTGAGAGTAGTGACAAACAGAGTGAGAGAACAGTAGACAATGGTGATTTTATCTCCTCTGTCGGTAGAACACACAAGCACATTGATAAGAAAGCAAAAGGTGAAGTTAACTCAGACGTGACGAGAAAAAGTAAAAGTCACAACTCCTTCTCGGAAACTCGTGATGATAAAGTCGACAGTGAGGTCTTAATGAACACAGTGTTGACCAGGGTACCGGAGGAGGACAGTTCCAGTGGTGAGAGTCAGGACACACACAAACCTCCTCACGTGAGAGGAAAGGAACACGACAGGCGTTCAATAAATGGACCGCCTGAGACAAGGAAGGTGATGTCTGTGTCTGGTAATTCCTACGAGAGAGAGAGAGAAAGAGGCGAAAACGAGGAAGTTATTACATATATGGATAGAGAGGAAGAAATAAGCAAAAAAAAGATGACAAGAGAAACAAAAACAGAAGAGAACAATGAACATCAAAACGAGAAGAGGTTCGTGAACGCCATCGTCGCGGGCACCATAGAGAACAGTACAACTCTACAACTCCCCATTTGGGTTTCAACTTATCTCCCCAATTCCGGGTTTAGGGATTTCCACGTCTCTCCATTTAACCCTGATCAGGGGTTCGACAGCCTAGAACAAGCCAATGTGGACCCCTTACGACGTTATCAGGCAGGTGCTAATCCCACAGTCCACACAGGTGAGGTCGGTATTGACATAACCAATTGGCTAGAAGGTCAAGTCGTGTCACCGCCCCTCGTCCAGTCTATGACTGACGCTGACGCCACACTCCTTGACACCCGCGGGGAATTACACACAAGGCGGAGGTCCCCAACACCAACTACTGACGTGAGAAAGAACGAAGGTGAGGCAGTAGAGGAGGAGAATAACAATGGTATAAATGACGAAGAAAGAAGATCAATACCGACATGGGAGAAGGCTACCCCCGTCGACGAACACACAGAGATAATTGTTGAGAACCTGGAGGCTGACTCTCATATGGACATCAATAAGGAACAAATAGTGAGTAACGACGCCCAACTGACGAGACACAACAGACTACATTACATATATAAGAAGAACAAGATAGAGAGAACTGCTGATTTACTGAAAATAAAAACACAGAAAGATGACAATAATATGAATAATGCAAGACGCGGTGAGTCACAAGAGCCAGCGACAGACGTGCAGAATATTCCACCTGAGCATCACCCCATGATCCTGCACGAGGAGCCCCACGAAGGTGCTGTTGAGGACCCGGGGAGCAAGCACAGTAAAGGTACAATCCCCAGCGTCAACAGAAGCACCAACAGGAGGAAGAGTCAGGCGTCCTCCGTGCCGTTACTAGACACGGAGGGATCGGTGAGGATCCCCTGCTACGTCATCATCTTCCTGCTGGGGGTGATTGGCAACACCCTCGTCATCGTCACACTCCTGCAGAACCGCAAGATGAGGACCATCACCAACGTCTTCCTCCTCAACCTGGTAAGTACACCTATTTGTATCCCTCGGTGTGTGGGAGAGGAAGATGGTTCAGACAGTGTGGATACAGCACACGGTATACTAAACTCTTGGTAAACAAAGGCGGCAATGTGGCAGGTCAAATACGCGTTCACTTTCACTTCCTCAAATAGAGTTAGATACATCGGGCCCGAACCAGAGAACAGGAGGCGAGTGCTGTAACCACTTGACCTCCGCACCTTAAGTGATAAGAAGAAATAACAGCTGTAACCTCACACTATATATAGATACTGGTACCATTAACGTCCTCCTTAATCTAGTAAACAGCCAACAACCCTTAACATTAGACAGCATGTGTATGCGTTCACTTGAAGTCGAACACGCAGTATGTTCCCGGTCTCCGTTTACTCCCGAAGGACCAATCGCCAAGAGACAGAGAAATTGCACCTGTCAATATTTCGAACACAAGAATTATCATATAAACAGAAAAATATTTAAATATTTAAATAAATAATTATAGAGAGAGAGAGAGAGAGAGAGAGAGAGAGAGAGAGAGAGTTTTGTCAATAGATCCTCTTTTACAGGTTCCCAAAATAACTACAAAATCCTGACTGTTATGGGATTAAAGAGACCACGGGGGTTTGGGAGGAGGGGGGGGGGATAACACCCCTGGCAACCAATAACCCCTTATCTAAGAGTACTCCATAACCCTTAACGTCAAAACAAACCCTTAAATCACCTTAAGATAAGTCCAGGTCCCATTATCCAACCCTAAAAAGAAAAAAAACCTTAGCATAATTATAATACTTTTTAGGTACATGACCGGTGATCAAACCTCAAAGACCCTTAATTAGTCCATCAAAAAAGACCTAATACCCTATACGTCCATTAAACGTCAACAGAACGTTTTTGTGTAAAGACTCCGGATTTTTACGTCGTTTTTGTGAGAGTAAACATGGAACGAGGATAAAGTACGAGCAATTAACATTTAACAGTGCTCTCTCTCTCTCTCTCTCTCTCTCTCTCTCTCTCTCTCTCTCAAATCAAATGAGACTCTAATTTAGTGACTGGTACTGAATGTTTATCTACATTACACCTGGTTTAAGGAAAGGGTTACAATCACGCGTTATGAATCACACCTGCCTGTTATTATGGTCATTGAACGGGAAAATGTAGATCGTGTTCGTTCCTTTTTATTTGGTTTTACACCTCTCGTACATCGTCTTGTTCTACATACACTCGTAAGATGACCAAAAAAACACGAGTTATATTAAAAAAACAACTGAATAACTGCCCAAAGTAAATAAAAAAATTAATAAATATCTTCATTATTCACTGTAATTTAATTCAGTGGTTAAGCTTCCTGTGTTTTAAATATCCGGCATGGAAGTTGGATTAACAAGACCTGAATTACGGTAAATAGTCAATAAGAATACACGTGTCATTAGCCAATACGACCATAAAAAAAAAGTTTATAATATTCGTTTTAAGACCATTATTATCATCTGCATATTTTTTTTTCACAGGAGGAGAGACTGTTTATTATACCTGCCTAATTAATAACTCTCAATCATCCTAGGAATCTCAATTTACCTGTATGTTTCTTTTGATACCGTGTGATCTCCCTGGAAAAAAAAGTTTACTTATATTAATCTATTGTCTTCCGTGTTTGTTTTTTTCTTCTAGTGTTTACAGCAAACTAATTTAGTCCAGAGGTTATGTTTAATGTCTTTTGTTTGCCACTAGGATTAAAAATTTAGAGACGCCAAGAAAAAAAAGGACTTTGTGTTTAATAATGTGTGTGTGTGTGTTCATTATACAGGTCTTGATGAGGCTGTAGCCAGGGGTCGTGTGAACAAGGAAACCTGATGAAGAGCTAATTGGTTTAATTGACAGACAGACAGACAGAGACAGACAGATAGAGTCCCAATGGAGAAATAGGTCATGCCAAACCGAAAGACAAAAGCGAAACACGAAAAAAAAATAACTGTTGCCGCAATGTTCTGCTGTTTCCGGTTTATTTACACTCGTCGTTTTGGAGCACAAAACAAAAGAGTAAAGACTACAAAATAAAATAAATATATATGTATATACATCAAATAGGATAAAAACAACAGGAGGAATATAACAAGGGCTCGTTTTTTGTTTGGCGTATGTTTAAGCCTGGAAACGGGGAGGGAAGGGGAGAGGGGGAAGCTTACATGTTGTGTTGTGGTCCGTTGCATGGTGTTGTGTTTCCATCAGCAATTATCGAATTTAGCGGTGTAAGTGATCGTGTTCTTCCTTTCCGGTTCAATATGAGGGAATATATAAGGTGGTCGAAAAAAAGAAGACCAGGATTTTAATAAATAACCAATTGTAAATGTTGGGAAAGAGTTTAATTCATGGAGGCTAGTAAAAGGTCGTTGTTTATTTTCAGCGACTGGCTCACTGGTTCTATTTCAGATGACAATAAGTGTGTCTTCCTCGGCTCATCTCTCAGTTAGTCTTTTGTCCCTCGGTGAAGAAAGGTGGCGCACACCAGACCTATCGCTTATTAATTGCCATCACCGTGTCGTCGTCATAGCAACTGCTCGTAGAGTCCTTTAGGAAGATGCCTCACTGTTAATGCCAGATAATCTTGCTGTTTATTTCCCCAAAGACGGAAAGCAATGATCAAAGCTGTGTGGGCGTAAGGCTACAGTCCGGCTAAAAGCAAACCCAAGTATCGAGTTGTTTTTCAAGGACACTTTCAACCCAATTAAAAGATATAATGTAATCAAAATGTTTTTTCTTTATCACGAGACGATTAAGCACCTCAGCTTATTCTTGTAATATTATGGGCCTTCCACAGATGCCTACGTCCACAAGACACACAGGCTGGCACTCTTGTGGGTCCTGTCACACGTAATTATTGCACAATAAGTTATGCTTGCCATCCTTTCTTCAGGCAAACACTCCGCCGTGTCAGGTGCCATGGAAATAACTCGGCACCAAGGTTAAGGTGACCATTTGCAAGATATTAAAATTATTGAACATTTTGAGAAAACGTTTCTAGTGGGGAATTAGGCTGTTGGCTGTCTGTATTGACAATGGATTTTGTCGAAATACTTTCATCAGTTAAATCTAGATGTGTGTTGGATGTGGAAATTAACAGAAGTGTGTGAGTGGGGGGTGACAAAGACAGGGCAGACAGCTGTTCATTAGTTAATTGCTAAATCCTTGTAATGCTACGAGTGTCGGCCTCCCGTGGCAAATAGCTTGGATAGGAATATAAGATATAATTAAATATTATACATCTGCATCATAAAATAATTTACATTAAATTAACTCTCCCCATCAAATTTCCAAAACTTATATCGTAATCATTAAACTGAATTCCTCCAATCCCTGAACAGGTAAATGATATATACAGTATGTACCTTTACTTCTCACCAAGACAGAATATGAAGGAGGCCATTGATAAAATATTCAGAGTATTATAGTAATGTCATGTCATCCATTAAAGATAATTATTTAACACTAAACTTCATTCGCAAATTAAAAAATAAATATTAACGACCGTAAATGATATAATGGTGGCAGCGGTGGAATGGTAGTGGATGAGCTGTGGCGCAAACTATCTCATAAAACTGAACTGAGGCAATATATAACACTACAAGCATGACATTACTGCATTTCACCTGATGATTAAAGACCCTTATGTTACCTGAGGGAGGTTAGGTTAGGTTAGGTTTAGGTTAAGTTAAAAACGATAGTTATCTTATGTTAGTTAGCATTAGTATTTAATCATTAGGCGAAAAAAAATGGGACCTAATTTTCACGTGATCCCAAAACCTTCCTACCAGCCCACCTCCCTCCCTCCCTACCCCACACACAAGGTTTCCAAAAAAAAAAAAAAAATCTCACTACTACTTTAAAAAAACGAGTTAAAAATCCACAATCTAAATTTAAAACTCCTGACATAAATACCATCTGCAACTCATTAATCATTCCAACTAGTAACATCTTCCGATACGTGGAATATATTATCTCTATGCTAGGTTAAAATATTTGTCCTCGATATATTTCAATCACGAGATAATATACCAAATGGGTTGTGTGATGTTAATATGGTTTAGTTTGTTTCTTGGTGGGGGAAATGTGTTCAGTGGAGGAGGTGAGAGAGGATAATTTGTCTCCAGGAGCTGATCTTGTTGACCAACCAGACTGTGGATAGACTTATGTATGATGAGAGAGAGCACACACACACACACACACACACACACACACACACACACACACACACACACACACACACACACACACACACACACACACACACACACACACACACACCTCAATGAATGTAAATTATTATTATTATTATTATTATTATTATTATTATTATTATTATTATTATTATTATTATTATTATTACTATTATTTCAAATATATAAAAGATTGTCTGCTAAATCGGTAAATCATAAAGTAATGTCAGTAAAAAAAAACATTAAATCAAAATCTACCACAAAGTAGCCAGGACAAGACCTTAAAATAATCCTTGTGTCACTTTTAAACAATATACATAGACTAAGCAGATGTATGAACAATATACATAGACTAAGCAGATGTATGAACAGTATACATACATAAGACAGGTATACAAACAATGTACAACCATCATTATGTTAACCAATATATATTTTTAAATGAAGATATCTGAGCATGGTGTTAACTTTGTAAATACTTGTATGGGTATATATGTACAAGATGGTGGTATATAGAGACAGACAGATAGACAGATAGAAGAGGGAAAGAGGAAGAGGGAAAGAGGAAGAGGAAGAGGGGAAGAGGAAGAGGGAAAGAGGAAGAGGGGAAGAGGAAGAGGGGAAGAGGAAGAGGGAAAGAGGTGACAGTAGCCATAAATAATATACAAGCAGCTTAATTTCAGCCCCTAGATCGATGCATGTCACCCACGACACACAGAGTATACCAAAAACACAGGTTAAAGGGGAAGGATGATCATTAATTACTTGTTCTTGTAATATTAAAGGTCACAGGTG